CATTAGTAAAACAAATTATGTACAAAGGAATAACTTTCTCTGTGAATAATATTATAAATTTAGATAAGAAAGAGTAAAGCAGATGAAATTATAGTTTAAGAGAAAAAAACTAATTTAAGAGAGAAAAATAAAAAAACTAAAATACATAATTATTATCAATATATTATGATTTATTTATATATTTATTTACAATATTTAAATGTCAATAAATGGCTACGAACTTACAGTCAAAGCACTGGCAGCTTAGACCTTGAGCTTGGTGAATTATATACATATAGTATTATATTCAAGTCTTCAGTCTTACAATCTTATATAATAAAAGAATATGCCCACGCACACATATGATATTTACATTTCAAACCATAACTCATTTTTTCACCTTTTACAACCTTATCCTTTTACCACCTGACACAGCTCATCAGCAAAATAAAAAACCAACAAAATTTCAAGGACCAGCAAACAAATATTTAAAACAGATTTACAGCAATAAAAAAAACTAAAAAAAAAAAATGAAATATAAAATTAGCTCAGACGATGCTAAAAAACGCTCCACTAAATTTCTGGTACATAAGACGGCGCCACGTGTGGTCCCTTGTTAAACATGAAGCGAAAAATGCATTAAATCAAAACTTTAAACAAGTGCAAAAATGTCAATAAAAAACCAGAACGAACCAAAAGCTTTTCTGAGTGTGAAGAGCAGAGAGAAAGAGAGAGTCTCCCGGCCGTAGCATGCTGTGCATTTAATTTTCAGCTTTTGACATATTTATGATAACTTGGGTCATTTACGTGCAACCTTTGTCTTGTTGAACAACCCGAGCTGGTGCCCCGAACGCCAGGTGGAAGGTGCTGCGCATGCGCAACGCTTCACGTCTCCACCTTGTGGCATTCCACACACACATACATACATAAGGAAAGCGAGTGCCAAAAGGGCAACAGGGAGAGAGAGAGAGAGTGAGAGAGAGACTCGGTCAGGGCAGACAGTCAGTCAGCAGACGACGCGGCAGGACATCGTTTAATTGCGAACAAGTTTTTTAACACGATGTTGTACAACTTTGCCTTGTTTGCATAAGCCAAAACATATAGTAAAACACAACTGGAAAGTAATGCTACGATCAAG